AGTGCAGAGTAAATGAAAACAGTGGTCTTTCCGCTTCTTTCTACCCACATTAGTTTACATTAGCAAGGAGTGAGCTTTGGTTACTCACTTGAGTTGTTCACATTTGGTATATGATGTCTAAAACAATGACACCAACCTGCTGAACACCCAGGAACACACAGGTACACACTACTCTGGTCAAACATTCACAGTGAAAGCTTTGTGGGATTTTCCCGGCTCCGAAACATGAGTTAGGTCTTGCACGAGAAGCCTTTCTAGCTACACATAAGATACTATACCTATAATTAAAATGTGCTGCAGGAAGTTTGCAAATTGTAGGATCAGGGAAATTGCTCTCAGAGAATGAAAGTAATAATTGCTCTCCATATTACATAGAGAGGTTTCAACTCAGTGATCTTATAGGTGGAAAAGATGACTATATGCTTTTATGACATAGTTTGGGCATCATTCCATGATCTGCTTCAGAAAAATATATTTTGTGTTCCTAAAAAAGGTAAATAACTTTATGCAGATTGGCACGTGAACTTTATTCCTTTAGAAAAATGTAAAAAAAATGCAAATGTGGTTTTTCTTGGGGCAGATATTGTGCCATCTTCATTGTGTTTTTTGTTATAGCAAACAAATATCAAATATGTATAAAATGCAATGGTCCAGAATTCATAATTTGAGTAAGAAATCTGCATTCAAAAAGTCAAAACTAATCATGATTATCTATATATTTGTGGGTATATGTGCTAAGAAAACAACCAAGATTGTTTTTAACTTGGTAACATTTTATATGAATATATTGTATATACAAAATAACTTAGACTTAATGTGTGTATAAGCGTCAGATCTAAACACCACTTGTATTTTCATTTTTGGTTATCCAAACCAAAAAATCAAGCTGCAAATAAACATAAGTAAGTATTAAGATTACTCTGTGCAAACTCCTCTGAGTGTTGCTTCCAATGAAAAGCGTGCCCTGTGGTAACCCCGGCCTGATTTCGTGAGATAAAGGCGCGCTCACTCAGGTGTAGTGTGAGCGGATGCCGGTGTCGTCAGCAACCATTTGCAGTGAGAAAGAGTCTCTGCGGGCTTCACAGGAAGGGGGAGATGGGGGAGGAGACAGAGCAGCAGAGGAGGGGCTTTACTGGAAATAGGTGGCTAAACAGGTCTAGCTTGCCTTTTCCAGGACATGGTAAGGAAATATTGAAAGAGACACCCAGCATCTATGTGTGCACAGGACGACGCAACATACAGTACATGCATGTGCACCAACACAATCCTGCTTTGTGTGCATTGTGAGATCTTTCTGTTCACTCAAATACTAATGCAGATTTTTGCAGAAGTGAAATATCCTGACTGTCAAATAATGACTTCTTCAATGTCTATGTTAGGACATTTGATCCTCTGAATATTAAACAACACTAGATTTGATGGTGCAATACTTTGCAATATGTTCTTAATTCACACCTTAACAGTTAGATTGCTTGCAAAATATATATTTTTTATTAACATCCATCTCTCTTTCTTAAAAAAAAACATTTAAAGGTCCGCTTCTTAATGTTTTCAAGTGAACAGTTTGGTGAATTGACTCATGTATACATCATATGGTACTTTGAATGGATTTTAATAATGTAAAAGGTGTTGCTTCCAATAAAATACACAGAATTATAATGATCTATTTTCAGCTCATTGTGTTTTTTATGACCTGCAACTTTACTATTTTGGTTAAGTGTCCTATTTCTAAACAAATATAATGAACCCACTGTGCCTTCCTGCCCTTGAAACAGTTGAAAGACAAAGTAAGCAACAAGCTGGTCAACATAGTGGAGCATTTAGCTAATAGCATCCAGCACTCGAAAAGAAAAGCTTAAGGCAAAAGGAGGAGGACTCTGCTAGGTGGCCATAAACATGACAGTTTAGGGTGTCTCAGATCACAATAATTGTTCTAATTTTACCATAGTATTAGTTTGCTAACACGTAGCTTTAAACAAAAAATAATAAAATGCTGTCTGCGAATTAGTTGGGGCGAACGAATTAAAACCAAAAGCCTGTGTGTGTTGACAGTGTTCTGTGCTCTGAGGTTAAATCAAGATGCACTGTGGTTCCGTACAATAAGACAGGAAGGAAGCTACATACAGCATTTCACCTCAGCCTCCCAATACAAGAGAAAACTAAATTATCTCCAATGTACATCCTGGATTCCTTGGTAATGACGCTTCAGGACTTACTGCTAAGAATCTAAATGTTTGTATTGAAATGAAAATGTGAATAAAACTGATGTATTTATGAAATCGCACAACACAGAGTCTGTATTGTCTATATAGCATTCGTGCTAAAAAAGTATGTCAAGGCTGTGATCAATGATTTTCTCATCAATTGAATTTAAGGGCCAAATATAATACATCCCTAAAGGATGAAGCCATGACTTTAGTGATCTCCTGATGTTTCCTTGAGCACTTAATTCTAATCAAATCTTAAAATGTAGCCTTCAATACGTTTTTCATGGCTCAATAAACTAAGATAATCTGGTGGTGTCTTGAAGTTAATCCTTGATTTGCGGTGACCGTCAAAAACTCTTGTGAAACCCACTGCTCAAACTATCTTAACCCTCAACCAGGGTCAGATCAGTGCCTGAAATCAAACATGTGCAATACATCCTGATATGAACTCTGCTTAAAGGTCAATATAGCACGCACTAGGAATTATTTGCATCAGTTTACTACATTTACCATTGAAACAGGTCGACAGTAGCTCAGTCCGTGGGGTTAGGGTATAAGAACATAATTACGGAGCTTGGACTGTTAGTTTAGAAAGTATACCTTTCAATCTGTGTTTTTTTTGCACCTGTATCAGCAAACATCTGCCCTCGTTGAGTGCCACTAAGCACTGGCAGGTGAGAGCTGAAAATGAATGGATTCATTTTAAATGCATATCCAGTAGATATATCTTAGACTCTTGACACCTGATTGAAACCTCAAGGTCATAATCAGTTTTATATGCGTCGGTACGTCCACACAGTGGCGTGCGTTGAAGCTTCAATGCTTCTGCTCATTCACTTTGAATGGGGTGACGTCACGCTTTGCTGAACTGCATTGTGGGAGCGTCGTTTCGCTTTGCTGGCGTTGCTCGCTTCAAAAGTTGAGCAATGTTCAACTTTTGAAGCTTCGACGGAAGCGTCAGCCAATAAAATCATATGCCAGTACAAGCTCTAGCCAATCAAACCGCGTGCTTGTGTGTCCGGGGCGGGAGACTAATGTGATTGGTTGTTGGTCGAGCTTCAGACACGCCCGCCGGCAAGCTTCAACGCACACCGCTGTGTGGACGCTGCGTCAGACTTTCACATCATATCATGTAAAATAATGCACCAAACAAAAATACTAATTTAGCATGGCCTAGATCAAATGGAGAAATATGTATCTTTAAAATGACATGACTAATAGGAGATTTGAAGACCTTGATACAATGGTTTTGTGCAGGTTTTTCAAGCTAAACGTTGACTTAAAACAATGTATCACTTATTCCACTGGCTTTGCTCAACAGTAGTGACTGTTATTACAGTATAGTCATTACATTTCCTTTATTGGGCAACTGACTTCTAGATTTGAGCATGCATATTCTGCACAAAAACCAGATAATAAAGAGCACTGCATAAAAATGTGCGACCAAAACTAAAGTGTGTTTCTCAGACACACAGCGTAATTATGCTGTATGTTTAAACCATAAAAACATGTTGATGTTTAGGATTTAGTTAGCAAATGTTATTTTGCCAATCAGTACATTTGTTATATAGTTAGATGAGAAGATGAATAATAATCTCATAAATAACTGTTAAAAGCCACATCAGGAATATTGTTAGCTTAGCAAAGCATAAACACTGAAAGCAGGGGGAAACAACCAGTTTAGCTCTGCTCAAAGGCAACCAAATTCACCTACCAGCACCTCTAAGTTGACTAATTAATACATTATATATCTTTTGTGATTACAAAACCTAAGTATATAAGTTAGTCAGACGATGTTAGCTTCAGACATGAGCCATGCTGTTTTCTCTGCTTCTCTTTATGCTAAGCTAAGCTAGCAGTCTCCTGGCTGTTGCAGATCAAGTTCAATAGCTTAATTTGGATTTTTGTTTTTGTTTTGAATGATTGAACAAAAAAAGAAGGAAGAATATGTTTTGTCCATGACCAAAATCATGATAAAAGGTTAGTTGAGGACAGGCTCATGATAGCACAAAATGTAATTGCTAAGTCATGTGGTTCAGTCTATTCGTCACTTTGTTGTTGAAACATGCTTTAGTCAGAGTAACAAAGACATGCTCACTGTCAGGCTGTCACCCTATGATCTCTACCAGAGCAGCGATACAGCCTTACACACTCATGTCTATCACCTGATTGAAGCCCAGTGCATGGTATCTTATGCTCCATTGATTGATTATATTAAGGTAATTGACACTGCTCTTCAAGGCATAAGTGAGGAAGAAATCTGGGGATTGTATGCACAATTGTAGATTTGAACAAAGTTGGGGAGCAAAAGCTTTAGAAAGTCTGAATATATACCATGACCATGTAAAAAAACATGTGTTTCTGATTTGCTGGCAGGAGCAAATTAACCCTTCTTCTAAACCATAACTCTGGTTATATTAAAGTACAGTTAACTGCAGTAACACTGATGCGACGTGTGTCACTTCTTCTTCTATGTACCCCTGTTCCCATTCTTTGTGCTAAATGGCTGCAGGCACTAGTTTCATATTTACCAAACAGACATATTTCTGAGAATAGTATAGTCTTTTAACATAATTCTTGGCCAGATAACAAATGTTAAGTGTACCTATAACTGTCCATGTAATAAATGTGATAACTCTGTCGTGTACCAATACAAAAAAATAATGTTGTATATAATACTTGTTCTCCTCTTCCTTTCTGATCATATATCAGGGCACCTGGTCATACTTTACCACATATGCATAATGCTTGTATATGAAGATGATGTGAATAATAGCATATCAAATACAAAAATAAGTGGAACAAGACAGACTCTGTTTATTAAGAAATTATTTAGTAGAAAAATCCAAAAACAGCAATCATACAAAGTGGTCATCAAAATATTCTGGAGGGCATACACGCTAGGATACACTAGGCTTGGTTTGACAGTTTGTTTATCACTATTATTATCATCAGCCCTGTGTCTATTCACAATGTCCTCTAGCAAGGCAAACTTTGAACCATAGTATGAACTTCAGCTGAATTAATGAAACATCAATACAAAACACAATTGACATCCGTATATATAAAACTTTTAGTAGAAATTATCTGAGAACTCTGGAAAACACATGTGATCACTGTTATGACATAGTCATTACAAAGGAAAGACAACACTAAATGTGTTTCCAACCACTTCCTCAATGGAAATTTCAGTACCTTGCCAGTTCTTGAGCGTTTCAGCATGGTTTTTGCTTTCACTCTCAACTATGGCTAACATATATGTACAGAGTGCATAAAAAAGCAAAGATTTGCTAAAAAGACAAATCAATAAAACGATAAAATATGTAAGCATCCTTTACAAAGCAATAAAAAGAGTAAACACATGACAATAAGCTGTACAAATTCAACCAACATCCATTTCCCCATGTTTTTTCTTTCAAGATTCAACACTCCAACAAAACATTAAAAAAACGATACAGTATGTTAACAGTGAATCCAGCTTCACCTGAGAAAGACAAAAAAAAGAAAGTAGTACATTCACTTCTGCGAAAATAGAACTTTTGCTTGGAAACCATCGGCATTGTATGGTTGTCCTTACAACCTTCAGGTCTCTGGCTTGCAGAAGCCACATTTCATTTGAGGTAAGTTGTATTGACTAGTTTGGAGAATATCTACTGAACAACAGCAGCTGTAAACCAATCAGTGAATTAGGTGGGGTGACTAAAAGGACACTGAAACAGTGATGGCACACCCCACCAGTTCAGAGCTACAAGTTGAGGTGGAATCGTACCAAACTTTAACTAGGGTTTTTGAAAAAGGCATCATTGATATAAATGTCATATCAACAGCACTACTATTTATTTTCTCAAATATACGAAGAAATAATGTTTTTTTAAATCAGTTTAATAGTGTCTTTTCAGATTAATAATGGGAAGCAAAGACACTTTTGCCCCTTTGCCACCAAACCAGTTCCAGTTCTAGCTCCGTGCTAGTGCTCTTCTCGTTCTGAACGTTCTTCTTTTTAGCCCAAGTTGTGTTTCCACCGCCCAGAGCCCGACTGGTGCTGCGTCATCACATCATCGTTTACGGCGCTGATTTTCTCCCAAACGCCGCTCACAACAACAGCAATGGGGGACAAAAAATCGACTGCATCGGGTCGATGATCGTGTTACTTTTAATCATACAAAGCCAGATTAAATAATATAACTACTTCTACAACCTTATACTTTTCTCCAGAGCCCCGTGGTTCATTGTTTATTAATGTGTTTCAGCGGCATTTACCGACCACTACAGTGCTGCTCGTCCACCGGAGTTTATTCTCCCGTTAACTCACGGCAGCGGCCACTGTAAAGTCTTCACTGTCTGACTGTCACAAAAGCAGCTGATACATATCCTCCATCCCCATAAGTGAATGTGTTTCAGTATGAATTGACGCTGTTTGGCATCACAACGCTATTATGAAAGTTTCTCTGGTATAAAATGGGTGATGTTAGCTTAGCAACCGAAGCGAATCTGACAATCTTCACTACTTGTTGCTATCCTATTGTGGCATAAGCCGTTTTCTACAGGCACATTTTACTGGCGTATGTTTCATTATGATCCTTCTTGTGATAGTCGGACATGGCAACCTGTGTAGCCCATGTATTAATTCACTCCGATAGCTGCTATAATAAAATAACCGGTTTTTGGTGCTTAGGTGGAAACAGGAAGACCCAGAGCTAAATCAGGCTCTAGCCCGGAACCGGCCCTGGAACTGGTTTGGTGGAAAAAGGGCATGTGACAAGCGGCACTGCTGGCGGTTAAGATGTAGGTACGAAACATTCTGGGTGGTATCTTTACAATTTTTTTTAATGGAACATTTTCCTAATTAAGTGTACCGCATCGACAATGCTTTTGCCTGGTTAGAGATTCCAAACAGCCTCCAATCATTTCTCTCTTGTGCCCACTGATGTAACATCCCAAGCACTGAGCCCTAATGGGCCCGAATAGGTGAAGCAAATTGTCTGGCTTTGCAAGACTAAACAAGACCAATGCACTGCTGGAACTGCTTTTTTTGTTTATATATTATTATTAAATAAATGTCACTCCTTTTAGTCAGCTTGCCGGGATTGTTTTAACCAGTCATCCAGAGTTGGGAAGTGGCCTTCTGAGGCCATGCTGTTGCTTGAGTATGGATTTTGCTGATTTTTAAGAGGATGAATGTTGCCACCATCGCCTTGCCTCATTGGATCCATGTCGATGCCATTGCTCATACGAGGAAGCAAGTTGGTGTAAGTATTTTCTTGGCTTTCGCTTGGGGAATGCATCAGAGAAGCATGGGTCTCTTGTGCCACTGTGATCTGTGGCTCCTGCTTCAGCTGGAAGCCAGTGTGAGATCTTCCTCCTACAAAGCCCTTCAGAAACTCTTCCCCTTCCATTCCCCCTACAAAGGGGAAAGTGGCCAGCCCCTGTGACCCCCCTCCACCTCCGGGTACTGCACCGCTAAAGGTGCTCTGGATTGGATTAAGGTTATTGAAATTGGGCCACGCAGTTTGGAGACCCTGGTTCTGGTTGCCTAGATTGTTCTGGGCTTGAGTATCAGACACATGCTCTTCCCTTTGTTGCTGCAGGTTGTAGAGCGACTGCGAATCTAACTGACTCAGTACAGGGGCCTGGGGAACTGTTTCCAAACACTGCAAGTCCCTGTCAGAGAGCTGAGGGAGGGTGTTATTCTCGAAGCGGCTAGGAGCCACTCTCTGGGGGTAACCAGATCCACGGTTCTGCTGCTGTTGCCTATTGATATTAGGACGTGGCAGATTGCACATGGCACCTGACTGGTTTACGGTGACCGTATCCATTGAGAGTGCTGGGTTGGGATTTGCCCATAAATGGCTCACAGGCACATTAGGAGCTTGAGGATTCATCATTACATTCTGAGCACCGTGTTGGTAGGCCCGGTTGAATACAGGCGCTTGTTGCTGCATCGGAGGTGTGGGCTGTTGCCTCGGGTACAAGTTGTTGAGGTCTGGAAAATATATGGTAAATGTCAAATGGACTCCATGTATATAGCACATTTGTAGTGTTCACCTAAAGCGCTTTGCAATGCAAGCCAGCATTCCCCCATTCATACACTGGAGACAGAGTCTACCATACAAGGTGCTAACTGCTCATCAGGAGCGATTAACATTCACACACACACACACAGAGATGGCAGGAGGTAAGGGTTTGGGGTTCAGTATCTTGCCCAAGGACTTTCTACATGAATACAGCAGGGGCGGTACTTCCGATTAGTAGGCATGCGCTAAAGCAGCATTAGGCATTATAACAGGCTAGGGTTATTCTGATCTTTATGTAAGCCTTGCATCTTGCTAAAGATCTAACATTGCTTTTTGAGAGAAATTAGTTACCTTTCCGCATGTGGCTCAAAGTACTCGTTGGCACTGCCTTTGGCCTGTTCATTGTCAAACCAGTGAAAGGACCACCTAAAGAAAGGCCAGAAACCTTTGTTAGAATGCATACATGTATAGTGACATACAAAATACATGCACATGTAGACATATCAGATGTTTGTACAGAAAAACTTAAAACGTACCGGATAATCCTGAGATCCTCATCAAGTGCTCTATTTTGCGCTTTTTCTCATTGTAGCCGTAAGGATCTAAAGCAAACATAAAATGTTCACGTAAATCACTTGATTCAGACTGAAACCAGTTCCTTGACACTATTGTCAGGCAAAGAGGAATATGTTTGAATACCTGAGTTGTTACTTTTAAGGGTACCGACCAATAACGTCAGTAGTACCGTTCACGATTAAACAAACAGTGTTAATATTCTAGTGGGAAATGCAAAGCTGAACAGGGCAACGCTTTCCACATGTGCTTTCTACGAGAATGATTGTGTGTCCCACTATGCCCTGTTGACGGACTTAAAAACAATACGGTTCAAATTAGGAGATTTTGACTTATTTTTTAGGACTGAATTTAATGGTACCAGTATTGGTTCAAATGAACTGTAGCCAACTCTAGAGTAGAATGACGAGAGTTTGAGTTTAGTAACAAAAAGTTGATCCATGCTTACCTTTGTCGTCAGGCAGATATCTGAAATCCATTGCTTCACTGACTTCCTGATCGGAAGGCCGGCGCAACTGCATCTGCACGGTGACCGACTCTGATATGGAGGTGTTATAGTAGGGTGGAGTCTTGAAGACGATGGCGACTTGGCGATGAACATCGGCCTGGGAGAAGGAGCCTTTGGCCTCCCAGCCTTCGGAGCAGAAGAATCGCACCTCAATGTCATCTAGAGGAATAGTGGGATGATGGGAAAACAAGAATGGAGACTAAATGATCATGCAAATAGATGGGCATTATGGCTATAAGGATTGATTTATTGATAGTGAATGCAAATGGAGAGAAAATAGATGCAAGCTATGTGAAAAACAAACATTATACTGAAAAATATAATGCTGATTTACTGATCATATGTACCTTTCTGTACTTTGTCACACAGTAAGAAGATCTCATCCCCTCCCTTGACACTGCCACTGTTCCTGTTTACCCGACAGATCCTCAGCTCTGCAGTGTTTGGGGCCCCTGATGATGCAGAAACAAGTTGTAGGAATAGAATGCAATGGACGCAACAAATCGAACAAGTCAGACTGCAATCTACAAGTGAGACAACATTTGTATTTCTAAGAGTGATACAATCACAATCTGCCTTTACTTGATCTAGTCTATGTCCTGTGGCTCAGTGAAACTTGTTTAGTGTTTAGCCTCAGTTTAGAGACAGACCACAGTTGACTGTTGAAGCCTCAGCAGGTTGAGTCACATGTCAGCTGTCAGAAGAGGAAGTGCTCCATGGTAACAGTGTTGTTTGAGGGCAAGTATGTGTAAAGACCATTCCTTTCTCAATGTGTGTGATGAAAACTCAACTTGTCCACTGAAGTGCAACACTCAAAACACATTAAAAGAATATATATAGGACACACATATGCAGGTTCTGCAACAAACACTACACAGCTACAGGTATTATGTAGCTGTATCTAATTGTGCAACCACGGCTACTTGTGCAACTTATCAATTATTGCAAAATATTATTACTTAAGTAGGTCAATAATGCAATTCTAGGCAATGGAAGGAACTGAAGTGAAAATAAGGACAAAATATCTCCAGCTGTAATTAGCTCTATCAAATGAACTCTAAGGTGAACACGCCTAAACTAAGGGAGTCGTTATTCCCGTAAGAACAATTATATGCCAATGTAAACAGGTTCTCGTAACTTGCATTTGCCAGATATGATGTCAGCATGAAAACCCTTTGACGCAGACACGGATCAGACACTCACTGTTGTCGTAGATGGGGTTTGTGACGATGGGATTGAGCTGCCGGGTGTATTGGCCGCTCTCGTCCTGTAGGGAAACCTGGATACACAGGCGGACCACGTTCAAGTCGTACTCCTCCGTCTGCAGCAGCTGCTCTCGTGGCACTGAGGTCACACACACACACACACACACAAATGCAATGTAAGCAATATGAGAAATGTATACCTGTGACCCCCTATGAAAATACTCTTTGCCAATAAGTGAAATTATTTGACCAACATGAACAAATGACTGCAGAAGTGTCAAAGGTACATAATCCAGTTATGACACCATCATCCTTGCAAAAAAGATTGTAGTAATTAAAAAAAAACATAGCTGTAATACATTATCATCTTTTTAAAATGACATACATAATGCTGTATAATTAAGTATAATCAAAAACGTTTTGCAGGTTTATCATACAACACATTTGAAGTATGTTTATCATGCATTAGACAAGGTTTTGCAAATAATATCATGGAGCAATGAGCTATTATGACTATAAGTCATTACAAAATGCTTTATCATTTGTTATGATTATTGTTTTGAAGCATCATACATATTTATAGGTGCCTACAACGATATATATACATCGGTGTATGCACATTTTAATGCATTCTTAATAGTGTTATATTGCATTCTGTAATTTGGATGCAATTGAAATGTATTAATTATAATCACAGAATGATGAAAATAAACCAAATATGCAAAATGAATCATGTGTTGAATACTTATTGACAAATGTGTCAAACCATTAAAAGCATAGATAGACAGATATGTGTTCTCATGCTTCTCACATCTGTAGGCTGTCCCCAAAACCTCAACTGTGGATAAACGCAGACACGTCACAGATAATCTTTTTATTTTCAAGCAGCCTATTCTTTTATACACACACATACAATCAAGCGTCACACATACCGCCCCCAGAGACAAATACAAACACACACCTTGCTTTGACACAGAGACGCCCACACACCGACACACACAACAGGCTTTCACATCTGCCTACTTTCTATTCCACCATCTCTCAATTTCTATCTTTCGCACTCATGCCGAGGCCATACCCGCCTACAACTTGTGGCCAAGGTGACGCTCGGTGACGTTACCTCAGGGTGGAAAGAAGTGTATGTGTGTGCCTTTGCGACTCCCTGCACGAGTGACCATGGGGCCTACTGCCTCCTGACGTGTGTGAAAGTGGTGGGACAAAAGTCTTAAACACATTGGTATACAACCAAGACACAGATTTAGGGAAACTCCTCATCCTTACTGAATGTGTCAATTGGACATGCTCAGTTCTAACAGCTAATTATTTCACAGCTCTGCCTCTACATGCGCTGTTGGCATCAGCCATTATCTTTTTCAAGGCTCAATTCCAAATGAAGTCACAAGGAATCAGCTCATTTACAAGTCTGTTTGATTTTAGCTAAGTCATCAAATTGTGACTTGTATCTGGAGTCCTGTATAATTAACAAGCAGCGAACAAAAGGGCAAAACAACTGTCACTCCAAGTGTTATCAGAATGTTTAGTTAGACATGATGCAGTAAACATGTCAACACCAGTTTTGTTGGTTTGCTGTCGATATGAAGCTTCAAGCTTTGTTAAAAAATTCCAAAATTTGATATCAGATTTGACCAAAACATGACAGCCTTGCTCTTAATGTTCTATGTTAGATGGCATTTAACATTCACACTCTGACCTACTTTATCAACTGCAATTTTACTTTGATACAGCAGTAGAGAAATTGTTTGACATTTCGGGACACACGCTCATTGCGTTGGGTCTGAGAATTAGATGAAAAGATCAATACCAGTTTCATAAATGTACATTACATATGAATTAATTATATAACATCCAGGAGGTTAGCTTATCAAAACAACTGGATACAAGGGGAAACATATAGCCTTGCTTTATCCAAAGCATCATCAAGTGTCTACCATCACTCTAGAGCTCACTCATTCACAATTAATATTTAATTGTGTCAACCGCACAAAACACAAAGTGTACAACAAGACAGAATGTGATACGTTTAAAGAAATCTGTTATACTATACTGATACTTAAAAGCTAATTTCAACTTCCCTGAATATAATAGATTCAGTTTAACTTGCATTGTGCTGGTTTACAAGCAGATGTAACTTTGCTACTTTGTGTCTCATACATTTGACATTGAATACGGTGTTCCTCAAGGAAGCATTGTAGGTCCTATTCTTTTTTCTTTACACATGCTCTCTCTGGGTACTGCAGGTCAATATATGGATATTATATCGATATCAACGTATTAGGGTAGATTAAGACTTATATTTTGGATGTTCCATTATTGCTTAAAGGTCCCATGTCGTGCTTTTCCGGTTATTACCCGTCCCCTTGTGTGTTATGTAGCTTTTTCTGCATGTAAACGGTCTGCAGAGTCACAAACCCTCAAAGTACACCCTGTAGCGAATAAAACTCTAACACAGAAAAGAGCTGTCTATGCTGCCCCAGAACGCCTCGTTGGAGATTTTTATTTTTTCTTCCTGAGTATGGTGACGTAACTATGCCCAGGTCCAAATGGACCAATCCATGGAGCTCCTCACACACACACACTCACTCAGTCTTATCTTTTCTCAGTTGCGGCTCCGCGGATTTCTCAACCTGAACTCAGCCTGAGACAGCGAGGCTGTGAGTGTGTGTGTGCTCAGGCTGAGTTCAGGTGAGTTTCGCGGTGTCTCCCTGTCTCGCAGACCCCACGCAGCAACCAGAAAACGACCCCAGTAATCCAGCACACACTGTCCGCAGCAGCGAGCCTCGCAACGTCCCATCAACACGGCACCCAGACCCCACGCAGCATTCTCATCTGTTTGTCATTACTGGTGTCATGTTCTGGTTGCTAACAAACGCCATTGTAACACATAATCACTGATGTTCCGCTGTAACGGTGGTGGACTCATCAGAACAGAGTGGGCGAGCTGACCAATCAGAGCACAGTGGGCTTATAGGGAGGGGGGGGGGGGGCAGGAGCTCCAACAAGCCGTTTAGGACAGAGAGTGAATACACATACTATGCAGAGATGCTGTATGAGAAACCAATGTGAGTTTGGAACATTGAACAATGTAAATCTATTCTAGTAGACCTCAACAATGGAATTATGATCAGTAGAAATGGCCATGTCATGGGACCTTTAAGTGTCTTGACTCTTTACTTGACTTTGAATGCTGCAATAAAGTAAAGTGATGTCATTTTCAGAATTGACCAGACTGTTCAAGCTTAACTATTCTTTGCATTTACCCAGTTAGTCATTTTATGACTTAACTCATTATTATTTATCTTTCCAAAAATCGTATTGTTTGAATATTTTGCATATACTGTATATCGTCACAATATTTATATTGAGGTATTTGATATTCTCTGTATCAGCAAGTACTACCTCTGGGCAAAATGTGTAGTCACCATATGTTCAAATATCACTGCCATGCTGATGATACACTAACAACAACAAATTCAACAACAGTGACACTGTGAAAATCAACCTCTGGGTGCTGAATGGTCTCCGTAACACAAATGTTGTGGGTGGCAGAGAAAGACAGACAGTGGAGAAACTGAAGGAGGGAGAAACGAAGAATTGCTTGTGTATGAAAGCGGAACTGTTGTATCAAATATTGATGTAACATAAAAAGTTGGTGTGTGTGTTTGAGATGCTGGACAGGTGCAATAAAGTGGCTCAGAGATTAAAGCAGTGGTGAGTGAACCTGTGTGGTGGAAAAAGGCCCGGAGTTAGTGGGCATCCCGGCTGCACAACGCTGCAGCTGCAGAGGGACGAGGTTATCGGCTGCGATGCTGACGGGGACGGAGGGGGTCGGTGATGGGTGGGAAGTGGTTAAGAGTCAATGTGGGAGCAGAATATGAGAGTATGAAAGAAGGGGCGGCAGGTGCCAAATCTCACCGCAAACAGTGTCTCCATTGCATGACTCACAATTTCATCAAGTTTCATGACATGCATCGCTAGTTCTTGTGTCTTAATGAGATGGAAATCTGATGTTTTGTCAGTCCAACTCAAAGATATTCAGCTTATTATGATATAAAGCAGAGAAAACAGAAAATCCCCATATTTGAGAGTCTGAAATACGAATGTACTGTCTATACTTGCATGAAAAATGTAATAACTTCAATGATTCATTGATTATTGAACTAGTTGGCCGTGTTTTTCTGTTGAGTATAACTGGATAACTAAACTAATCGTTGCAGTTGTATTGGATACAAACATAGAAAAGGATTGAAAAAGACCAAATGGAAAATATATATATTTGTTCTCCTCAGGAAAACAATCTAATCTATATCCACGCCTCTAACTTGTCAATCATTTGGAAATATGTGAAACAATTTACTAGGTATATCCCCCAATGTTAAACGGGAAGACATACTAATACAGAAACATGTTACAACATCGCACACAGACATTATTCACTTCTGTGTCAACACTACTTCAGCTGAGGTGACCTTTTGGCTAATAGACATTAACACAAACATTAATGTAGCACAAACAACATTTCACATGCATGACATGAGTTGCGGTCAGGGGGTTTGTGTGTATATGTTTTTTGTTAGAGTGGGGGGAGTGCATGGGGCATATCTCCCCGTCACAGGAAGCAGCTGAGTTTCAAAGCAGAAGTGAGCTGAAGAGAAGGCAAGGTTAAAGTCATGTGAAAAAGAAATCCAGCTGCCCATAGTACAGTCTGTAGTAATCAACACATTGCATCTGTGTTTAGGTTTAGCTATGGCTACCTGAAATCTACAGTAACAACAATGTGTTTATTGGCAAGGCTTTGTCTGTAGAGTAGCCTACTGTACATATCATGATACAGGGCCTACTAGGCATTTCACGGTAATTACTTTACGGTAAACTACCTATCATACGATATATGGGCAGGACCTCCATTCATTTTATGTTATCGGCTTATCGTACCATTCGTACCACTAGTTTCAGCATCTTTACCTTATCAACTTATCCAACAGTATATGGAAACTACCTCACTATTCTTTATGTTATTGACTTATTGAACGATACAAAAACACAACCTCAATAATCCTTTTGTAAAATATGTGGTCATGACCTCCAATATCTTAAAGAATTGGTTTATCATACCATTTAGTGATATTAGTTCCATATGACGTCATATATGGACATGACGTCACTTTTTTTGTGTCTTGGACCTATCTTACAATATGACTTCAGAAATCAAATGTTTTTGGTTTATTATTATAGAATTTTGTAATATATCTTTCACATTTGAGAAAATCTTTAAATTTGAGAGAGTGAAAACAGCATGTTCTGCTACTTTGAAAGAAAAATATTATTTTCATCTATTAATTGATTTTTTCAAATATTTGGCAGTAACATTTTGTCCATTGATTAGTCCCTTAGTCAACCAATCAGTGAAGTTCAAATACAAACTATTTTGCAAACATGAAAAGTAATAAATCAAAGCATTAGAGTAAATTATAAATCTGTCATATATGTGTGGTCAGCGGCATATCTGGTTCAATCAAATTAATTCAGTCAACAGTTATCGCAACTCGCAAACATGGAACACTAAAACACATTTATGTGTAACTGCTTGTAAACCCTCCATTCCCTCCCTGATTTTACAGACCTGTAAAGCATCATACCCTACTTTTATCATCATCTCTGAGAGTTGGGGAAGCCCCTCGGTCCACCCTCCCCCTTTAATGGATCCTGCATTCCCAGCTCTCACGTGGCATCCTGCACTGTGCTGAATTGAGCAACTGTGACTAAGAATGGGGAAGTAGCTCAACGCCTGTTTGTACACGAGAAGTGCTGCCTGTCTGCAGTGGAGCACCGCAGAATGAAAGTGCATTGAGGAAACAGCACGACTGTACACAGTGTGGTAGCAGGAGAGCGGAATTATGAGTTGATGTTAGAAAAATCATCACCATTGCTTGAGAATTGGGTCAATCAGCATTCGAAAGAAATTATTTTGAATTGTTTTGAACCTGTTTAACAGTAACAGCAGCAGGAAAAGCAACAGCAGCATCGACAGTGAGCAGTCACAGTCACAGTTAGTGACTAAAATAACACTCTTAGCTTTGTATAATGGCAGATATGCCATATAAATATCTTTTAGTAAAACATTTTAATCTATTCAACCCTTATTTTGTTTTTTTCCCATGTTGCTTGAGTTGACTCAGCAATATCTGTTACACAGTACACTACAATCACTACACACCATAAGCTACTGGTCATTTTAGACAAAGTAGCAGCCAAAAACATCCATGGTATGTCAATCTAAGATGCAGAGTGGAAACACCAACAATTCTGAAAATCTTGATATGTTGCAAAACAAATGTTATACTTGGCTGAGGTGAAATAGTTGGTTTATCAATAAAATAAATTAAGTGTAATGGAAACATATTTATGACGTGTGACTTCATCGTCATCTGAAGCTTCTGCATCAGATCCAATCAGTCGTCAATCACTCCACACTGTGCTCTCATTTACCCTTCCTATTATTTACACATGAGAGTGATCTGAGTGACTTTTATTTAATAACCTCATCTTGTTGCGCCCTCAAATTTGGCTATAGAATTGACACCTTCTATTAGCTAGCTACGGTGCAGTGGATTGAAACAAGATTTAAAGCTCTTTCTTTCAGCAATTTTTGTGATTGTGATTTTGACGGAACATGAAAACAGACTCTTAGTTGGACGGTTTCTGCATTACCTATCTCAAACTTGGATGAATTGCTATTGCTTTTTGTACATGTGCATTATCATTGACGGCCTGTTAGCATGCTGACATTAGCAATAAGCTTGAAGCTATGCTAGCACAACCTTAAAGTGGACCTATCATGCAAAATGCACTTTTGTCTTTCATACATGAATATGTGTCCCCGGTGTGTCAGGGAACTCACCAAGTGTCAGAAAATACAACCCTCTCTCTTTTCCTCCATACCCAAATCTTTTATAAACGGGGCTACAACGAGCGGATACAGATTCCATCCGACCCGACGTCAGCCCGGAATAGTGCGCGGTGACTAGGGATGGGTATCGTTTGAAATGTATCGATTCCAATTCTGCTTATCGATTCCCCGTTTCGATTCCAAAATTGTAAAAGAAAGAGGTCAAACGTTTAGATAACAAAAATATCTTTATTCTTTTAAGCTTTAACTGAATTTGTTACAAATAGAAAATATACATGCAATACAAATGTGTTGCACAATAGCTGTGCTTTATTTGAACTGAGCTATGCCAGTGGCAAGCTATTAACAGGCATTACACTGTGCCTTGTCTTTTTCTTTTTTAGTGTAGTGGCGCCTCACTTCAGAGCATTTACCGCGACCCATCTTTGGTGTTATGAAGTGACTGAGCTCGTGAACTGTCAACTGGAGGGCGGGGAGAGCCTCGCTGCGGGGCAACTGTGGACCTCTGTCGCCTGTCAGCGCAACTTACATGATGCCATTTAAAAAAATTAAGGGCGGTGCCGGCCGTCAGCGTACCGAGCCGGCCGTCAACGCCCGCTGACGACCCGCTGACGACCCGCTGACGACCCGCTGACGACCCGCTGACGACCCGCTGACGACCGTTCCGTTCTGGAATACAGGGTCTACCGCGTTTAGGAACCGTTAAGCGGAACCGAAAAGGTGTATTTTGTACGGGTACCCGGCATTTTCTTATCGGTTCGCACCTGGAACCGAGTTTCGGTTCCCAACCCTAGCGGTGACGCTCCGCCTATCAGGGGAATGAGAGGTTGCTGTGGCATGGTAACAGCATGGTAACAGCATGGTAACAGCATGGTAACATGACGCTCGTGCCGAGGCCCGAGGCCTTCTTTGCAGGGCGGCGTGGTCAGCTGTAACTCATTTTCCACAGAATCAGCCCTTGCTGGAATACAGCAAATAGAGCGAAATGAGGCATGGCTAAAATGCATGATCTGTTTGGTATTTTGAAAAAAAAACTTCACAGACATGTTTTATATAGGTATGGCCCTACAATATATTGTTCAAATATAGCATGATAGGTCCACTTTAAAGAGCAGCTTGCATGGCTGTAGACTCAGTCAGGTTCTAATGCACACAAGTGGGTTGAAACTACTGCTCTCAGTCAGTGTGATGATGTAAGATAAAACAGAAGCAGAGGATGTGACATTGGAAGAAGGACTCACCAGTGAAGGGGTTGATCCCTCTGGTCATCCTCTGTACGATCGCATCTTTCACTTCCCTCCTTCTCACACACTGGATACCCAGATTCTGGAAGCTGTGGGGATAATAAAGGAACAGGGCTGTGACAAACTGGCAGACTCTTACTATGCTGCAACTTAGAATAAAAACAACAAACACATGGGGCCACACCTGAGTGGAATGACGTCAACAAATATAATGTTGTTGTGCATAACTCTGGGGGAAAGGTAATAATAATCTTGCAATTACTCCAACCTGTCTGACTCTACTTTTAAAAGACTTCAACTATTTATTTAATGTTCTTTTATTACTTTTTTTTTAATGTTAATGTGGGAATATTTGTAAAAATTACATTTGTATTGCTCTTTGGGAGAGTGTACTTCATAAGTGTGCTATTATGTTACAATAACATCTGAACATTTTGTTTATTGCAATTATTTCTTGGACCATATGCCGCCCAATAAAAGTGGTTATTGTGAAAGGCATGATTTATCTACATAGGAGTTAAAAGTTGAAAGTAATCTAAATGTACTACACACATCAATGGAGGATTTGCAAATTATACACAGCAAAATAAACTGACTCATTCAAACACACAACCTCTATTTTCTCTCTGACACACAGCAAATATGGGTGATGTCACTCGGGGAATTCCCATATGACCATCCTCATCACAGACATGGTTTGACAAAAATGCTCTGTGTGTGATTCCCAGCGCTCTCCCTCTGTATCACCAATCAACACTCAATGTCTTCTGAAACCACCAAGTAAAAAATGAAGTTCTACTAATAGAGAGCAAATTGATTATGTTGTGGTGTTTGTTTGTTTACTTATATTGATGATTAAGACTGAGACAATGTGGCTATAATTGTTGTGATGACGTCAGTGACAGTGAGGTCATTGAATACTCTATAGAGAGTGCTGATGGAGGTTACTGTGGGAGGAGGACTCACGCGATCACTCTGCGGTCTGGACCAAACTCGGCCTCGTAGAACCCTTCTTTGCAGTCCTTGCCCACCAGGTCGTGTGGATGCGGTCGGTACGGCTCGTTCTTCGTCACCAAGTAAACGCGTACTTTCCCTTTACCGCAGTAATTCAGGATCTGCGGAGGAATCAAATAATTAATAGAAAATCGTATAGAAAGATGCATGCAGAGGTGTAAAGAAGAGAGATGGAGGAATAAACCCGATGCTTTGAGGGTGTTTTTCTGTAAAACCAATAAAGCCATGCTCTATATGTGTTTTTACAACTCACCATTGGTCATTGGCCCTATGCCTTAAAATATGACACTACATTTACCCCACTAGCGTCAGTTTGGCACATGAAATGCTGCCTCTAGTGGTCGTAGTAATTATAAAGGGTGTAAAGAGAACTGGATTCAGCGTTGGAGGCGGGACCCCGTTCATTAGTGTGAAAATTCCTGAATGGCCCATGAAGTCAAAATGGCCTGATCTATGGTGATCTTCCGCACCCATAGAGTATGAGCAATTGCGTGTTCATTAATCGCCGCCTCCCATCCGCTGCGTCATAGAAGCATCATGGAGGGTCTCAGGTCAGTCAAATGAATAGAGGAAGGATAATATCTCTGGATTCGGCTATAAGGGCATTTTAAAATGTACGAACTTAATGATTGAAATATGGTCTATTCAAGTCTTCAACTAAATAAATATATATATATAAAAATAAGAGGAAACGAACAAAGGAACTGCTGTTCGTGCCCCGGTGGGAAACCACAACTCAACATTGACTTTTTTAGGTTAACTATGTAAAGCTTCCAAACTTTCAAATGTGATTTAAGTAACAGGGGAAACAAGTACTTATTTGAACACAAACCCTAATATTTTTGCTAAACCTAATCAAGTATAAACAATACATACTTAAGTTTGGAACCTATATACGTGACAAACTGAACTCATGTAACATTAACCACTTGTTGCCCTATATGTTGAAACATGCTGGAAATGCATTGGAAAGTGACATCAAAGGCTTTCGACGTGCATCTGTATATGATGGTTCGGGAGTGAACTCTTCTTGGTTTTATGCAAAATAAACATGTAAATCTCTCGATTGAGGAAATTAAAGTTGTACCGACTGACCTGCAGACTGGGGTAGGTCCTGTTGTTGTCAGAGCTCTTCTCTCCGGGGATGCTTCCCGCTGAGCGACCCTCACACTTGTACCTGAAGCGCATTCCCCTCTGCTTCGGCTGCTCGAAGATCTGGACAGAAGGCTCGGCCACTAGAGAGAACGCGTGATTTAAACGGTCAATAAAGGGATGAAGATACTTCCCCCAATTGTTTGAATATACATGGCTGCTAAAGAGTGTTGACACAAGTTACAGGATCAATACATAAAGTATACTTGGTTATTGACTATGTTTCTAATAAGTAATAACCCAGGGGGCATTGACTTTGCAGGTCAAAAGTCATCTAGATTTTAAGACTTTGACAAATTGACTTTAAAATGTCCTCGAGGAAAAAGGCCTATAAATTAGAGAGAAACAAAAATGCCCATCAGAATTTTACAAAGCCATGTGTTTTAGTGTTGATGTTTATTATTTTGGAGAAAGGTTTGTGAAAAAGAGATTCAAAACCCAAATTGTCTGCTGAAATATACAGTTTGCAGTCTACACATCTTGGTTTAAAGTAGAATTTATTTGAAAAGGGAAAGTTTTTAACAGTTTCAGAAAGGTGTGACCAAGATGAAATTACCAATAAAATGTATAGGCTTCTTTTAAACTGAAAATCATTGTGTTTGCTAAAAATCAGCATTCAAAACATTGCATGAAAAAAACTGTCTGTACTAACTTGACCTATTGCATGATACAAATCCTGCCACACTTGATGCCCGAGAGAGAGAGAGGAACTAAAACTGATCAGGGAAGTGTCTCTTATTTTGGTTTGCAGTGTTTCCAATAACAAAAAAAAAAATGTGTTTTTGTGGACATTACAGCTGAGTGAGAAGCCCCCACACACACACACACACACACACACACACACACACACACACACACACACACACACACACACACACACACACACACACACACACACACACACACACACACACACACACACACACACACACACACACACACACACACACACACACACACACACACACACACACACACACACACACACACACACACACACACACACACACACACACACACACACACACACACACACACACACACACACACACACACACACACACACACACACACACACACACACACACACACACACACACACACACACACACACACACACACACACACACACACACACACACACACACAAGAATAAAACTAGTCCAGTTACATTTCTGACATGATTAAGAAATCTACGTTTGCCAAATGTTGGCTCAGCCATGTCCTGCCTTCCTCATTTTGAGAGAAGTGAGAGATGATGTAGCTCACACGCAGACATTTATATCACACTATATAAACTCAGAGACCACAACCCATATACACAAGGATTAAAACAACCTCTGTTTCTCAGACACTCCTAGCACAGGTCTGAAAAAAGCAATGCTTACCAATAAAGCTAAATGAGGAAGTGAAAGACACTGCATTGCATTTACAGATTGTTTGACTTGTAGATACAGGCAGCTCATTTTGACAAAAGAGGTTTTAAAAGTCTACTTACTTAGATGTGAATCGTCCCCTAGCATCATAAGAACTGAGGAGGTAAATGTGACAAATAAGAAATAATCAGGCAAATGAGATACAAAATCACACTAAAAGGTTGTCATAACATAATAAAATGAAAATAACAATATTTTACTTAAGAGGGTTTGTGTAGTTCTGCTAAAGCTATCATGTAATTATTCCAATCACACTGTAAATCATTGCAACAAGGAGGAAGTTTCACTGTGCTGTTAGACTTACAATAATATAGCTAGGAAAGAAAACGTACACTTATAGATGTTATTGAACGTCAAAGTCATGATAATTATTGGTCAATATTACATTTAGTCCAACCCTCTTATTCTACGAGTTACTATTATTATTCTCCAGTAAATAAAAGAGTTGCCGCTCACCATCCATAATGCAGGAACACTCTGTGGTATCAAACGTTGTTGTCTCTTGGAGAAGCCCGAGCGAATGAGTGACAGTGGACAGGAAAGTGATATTTGTTAGAAAAGAGGCGACGCGGGGAATTCCCCTCCGTCACCGCCCCCTTCATCTGAACTGACCAATTAGAGGCCGCGCGAGTCGGAGCAGAGAGCAGAACGTGCGCAGTGAGGTTACTCCTCTCCACGCTGCCTATCTGAGACTGTGTTGATACGTGAGACTCAGCTGAGGTGGGAGAAGTACACAGTTCTTGTACTTGAGTAAAAGTAGAAGTACCAGAGTGTAGGAATACTCTGTTACAAGTAAAAGTACTGCAATCTAAACGTTAATCAAGTAAAGTACAAAAGTATGACCATCACAAATATACTTAAAGTACCAACTCATCATTGGTCCAATTCAGAAATACATATATTTAATGTTTTGATTATAATGATTGATAATTAAAGTGTTATCAAAGCTGGTAAAGGTGCAGCTAGTTTAAATTACTTTGTATACTGCAGGGTAGCTTGCGAATTTACTCCAGTCTTATTTAAGTGTTGATTATAATTCACATTAACTCAAGTTTGTAAAGCAACTAAAAGGTATTAAATAAATGTAGTGGAGTAAAAGTACATGATTTACCTCTGAAGTGTAGTGGGGTAGAAGAAGTACAAAGTAGCATAACATTGAAATACTCAAGTAAAGTAAAAGTATCTCCAAATTGTACTTAATTAAAGTACTTATGTAAACCCACCTCTGAGATTCAGTGATGAGAGACAAAATGGAGGAAAGGCCATGAAAAGAATAAAGCCAATGAAAAATCAGAATACCCTTATTAGTCCCACAAAGGGGACATTTACATTGTTACAGCAAAAGTAAAGATGAAATAAAAAAACACTTAGATAATATTGTTAGTAGTACTGCAGACATGTCACCACATGCATCAGAAAGCACCATACTCACTGTGCAGCCTCGTGCATGGCTGGATGCCTGATGGTAGCAGACACCCCATTAATATGACTAGCATTACATTCACAGGTAACCATACTGCTCTTATGAAAGAAAATAGACGATCTTTGAAAAACCTGAGTTGTTGAATAGTGCAACAGGCTATGGGTTTGTTGTCATATATTGTTGACTCAAACAGCGTCCAGTTTTCCCATAAAGGCCCACCAGTGCATAACATTAGCTCCGCTGGATTAAAGAGCATTTCATGTTTTCTCCACTGGATGGGCACTTGATCTTTCTTTCTCCAACTGAAGGGCACCTTGGAGTGTGTTGGATGGCATTTCAAGAAACAAATCGCTTTAGACAGAGCCATGCAGATGAGTTGTATCAATCTCAAATTTCCCAAACTATATAATCAGACAATTGTGTATTTTTCTTAAAAGATAGTTTGTTAAAATGTTCTTGTGTTGTAGAAAAGCAGCCAAAAAGAATAATGGAATTCATATCCCTGGAAATGCTTTGAGAAATGGGTAATTAACTATATTCTTTTCTTGACCTTTGAAACTGTTATTGACAAAACGGTATTCAATAGTCTAAGTCTTTTTAGTTTAATCTTCAGCTCTGTTGTATCAGACAAACGTCCTTTGCTTATAGAATGAGCCCAGTACCTAAATCAGCTTTTGACAAAACAATCTCAACACAGACCGTTTAGTAGATTTAACTTATTTTTATTGTTTTATACATAAAATGTATTGCACTCCAAAAATATCATGGACTTTTTTGGGTGATGTAAAGTAATATTAAAAATCTTCCAATGCTAGATGAATACAGCACAGATGCCCTATCTCGCAATATTGAGAATTAAACAATGCGTGTCCGCCCCGTGATTCGGATCAGCTCCATTAAGAAATGGGTTCTTCCCAGAGACTGTATATATAAATGTTCTTCCTAGGGGCCATGCTACACCCTTCCACTATCAACATTGGGCCAGTAGTTTTGTTCTTTAAACCTGATGACAAACAAAAAAAGACAAACCAAGCTGTAAACATACCCTCCTTGGCGGGAGGTAACAAAGAACACAGACATGGCATTGTTTTTAGGGGTTTAATGGGTGTACGGATTCATTTAAAGGAAGTGATAAACACATACAAAAATACCCTTTCAATACATTTTAGAAACAAACATCTAAATGAACTGTTTTGTTAAATTTGTCCAAACAGCAGAACATGAGTTGTCTGAAACAGAGTGGTGCAGATTTCATTAAAAAGAGACCTACCGGCTATGAATGCTATTAAAAAAAAGATCACATGGTACAAATATGCAAATATAAATAAAGTGATAAGAAAAAACCCCAATAATGAAGAATATGCCTTTTGAAAAAACAGTTCTCTGTACATTGAAGGGGAAACTGATGCTGGAAAAAGAGCCTGTGTCCCTGTGTGTCTAACGGCTCTGAAGGAGAGGGCGCCTCGTCAGCATCGCTTTATACTTTGTTATAGTATATCTTCTGTTCTGAAATCAAACAGTCACCGAGTTTCAGACCGGAAAGATGGAAGGTCGGGGCCTAAGGCAGGAACAGAGTTGTCTCCTCACCCCCCCCCCCCCACCCGTGGCCTCAGCAGGAGATGCCTTCTTAAGAACCTCCACAGGAGGCGCAGAGGGGTTAACACCCAAAACGAAGGGAATTCCGTCTTTCTCCAACACATTAACAACCATCGATGCATGCACGCTCACACACGGTCAACCACATGCACACAAGCGCCAACCAGCTCAAATCGTCAAAAAGCTTCAAACCATTGTTTTTTTTAACAAAGCACGACAAACTCTTCCATAGATGCAAAAACAACCAGAACTTCGCTTTACTAGCAGACCAAGGTAAACTGGTGAGGGTGTAGGGGGGGTCAAGCAGTATCAGCCGTTTAGCCTTCCCGACGGACAGGAAATTCGTTTTTAGTTCAGACAATCACTGGTAGGCCTACGTACATAAAACTGATATTCAAACACTTTCTTGTGACCGTCTAAAGTGTCCAGCACTCGCTTGTTTGTGTCAACCTCGCCTATCCCGACATCCAAGAGCTTGAACACACCAGGAGAAGTAGGCAGAAAAACGTGTCAACCTTTTAATCCAAGACATACAATTGGCGTTTGACACTTAAACTACACTGAAAATAATGATTAGCGTGGCATCATCGACATGGTTCTGTGCTAATCCTTTAGAGAACTAACCAATAACCGAAAAGCTTCAGAACCAATTTCACCACTTCAAGGAAATTGTTCCTGTTGTTGTAAGGGAGGTTTTTTTTACGGACACCTGAGGAGCACTCGGCGTCTACGATCACCTACACACTGCAAATCCAATACCAACCTGGAGTCCTCTTTGGGCGGTCGTGGTGCTTCCAAAGAGTCGTAGTTGTGATATCCGTCATATCCAAGCAAACCCTCAATAAAGCCTCCCCCGCAACTGTATCCAAACCTATACAGTGTTTACAAAAAAATATCCAGGGGCTGGGAGAGGTCTTTTTTGGACAAGCAATAGAGAAAAACAAAACACAATTTTTTTAGAACTTTTTTTTTTTTAGACATTTTTAGATAAAACTACAATAGAATGGTCAAAAGACTTAACGGGGATCTTTTGCTTTTTTTAAGACAAAAAAAGTTATGTACATCAACATTTACTGTACAGGTTTCTGTTCAGGAGAAAAGAAAAGGAAAATAAATCAGCATACACTAGAAGTGTGTGTAGCAAGCGTTCGATAAAGACTCTGGGCTGTTTTAAAACGCAAAAGTAAGAAAATGAAAAGAAGAACAGCTAAATTTTCATCTGTTCTGTGTACTTTTTTTAAACACAGAGGGGAGAAGACTAGTAAAAAAAAACGGTCGCTTAAGGTCTTCGATAGTGTTGTGTTTAAATGCCCTCCGGCTGTGAGCGTGATAGAGGGCGCTCACAACATCTGGTTTGACCAAAATCACCTATCCTGGCAAATCTGTAACCTCTGAAGAGTGGAGGTGAGCTGTCCGTTCTGCTGCTTCACACATGAGATGTGACCTGAACACACTCCCGGCCCCCGTGTGAAGTCATCTTCTCGCTGTTTTGACTTAACGTTAAAGCCCCGACTCTGTATGTATATGAATCCAGTCTATAGTTGTTGTGTTCAAGCTATGTGGATTCTGGCCTTTTCTGTTTCTTTCAGCCTCTTGGCCTGCTCCTCCAGCGTGGGGGAGTGGGCTCTCTTGGCGGTTGCTCCGTTCAGGGGGTCAGCCCCTCGGCTCACTAATGTTGGGATGGAGCTGCCGACGGGGGTCACCGCCTGTTTGGCTGCCACGTGTTCTACAGAGGGAAAGAGATGGACTGTTAATTTGGAGCCTTCAGTCTTCAGACAAAACATATAAGTTTACCATGGTAACATGTCTTTAATAATGAAATGACAGTAAGGGTGTCACCGGCCAATATTTGACATTGTCAAATCTGGTCAATGCTTGCCTATCAGAGACAGATTGTCAAAAAAAACTTGTTTTTTTCGCTCCTTGATCCCTATTCAGCTTTATTCGTCTATAGAAAGAATTTGAATAGTGAAAAACGGGATGGGCATCAAAATCCACTTCCTAGTTAGGTTTGATTAACTGTACTGATCCTAATTTTTGAAAAAACATTTGTCACAGCAACACGTAAACAAGGCATTGCGCATGAATACGTATAAATGTAAAAGTTGTGTGATTCATTGGAGATGTATGCCTTTGTGATAATTGAGTCCTATAATCGAATATCTCCAACAGTTTTGTATGCACAATGATGAAACCCCCTCCACACACTGTATTGTATGTTTCGCCCCACCTTTTTTCCTGATAATGCTAAAGAACAACGCTAGCTAATGTCGCTGTTGGGAGACGGTGGGCAGCAAAGTCTTGTTTGACAAAAAATGATTAACAGAATTTCAAATATGTTCTATTTCGTAAAAAAAGACTGTTGGGTGAAGGACAATTATAATTTTGAACATTTGTATTTAATCAGCACAAAGAACATCTGACTGAAAGTGGTATTAACTTTACAACCACATGCTATATGGACGATTCAAACGATTATTTTGTATGATTCCCTGAACAAAGTGAATAGCACCTTGATAAATGAACAGAACTGATAATTGACTGTAAGGGCAGTTATACACTCACTTGAGCCAATGACAGGAATGGACATGCCCTTCTCTTCGCCGGCAGGGGGAGCGTCAGTGGTGAGGGTGCCCTCGAACACTGGGGGCTTGGGAGGTGTGATGCTACAATACAATGAAACACACAAGGAAAGAATATAAGTGTTAAAACATTAGAAAGTCAGACTTGATTGCTGTGATTATGTTGGAAAGAAATGTGAACGCTCACTTGTGGCGGTTGAGAGCCAGTTTGATGGAATTCTTCACGACGCGACAACTGTTGCTCGCTGGGAGAGGCGACGAGGCGTCTGGCAGCTCCATGCTGGGAAGTCTCTGAGGGAGGAAATAACGTCATTAGAATTCAAAATATACATTTATTTTAAAAGTATTTAATATCTGCTTTAACAGAACACATGTCCAGATAGAGAAATAATTATACAACGTGTAAGCCAAATATAAAAAGAGCTGCTACCTGTGTTCTTGAGGTATCAATGGTTGGAATGGGCTTAGCCTTTGATCCAGTTTGCTAAAGGTGAAGAGAGACAACATTTGAAAGTGTTAATTTTCTTAGCCATTACACATGCAATAGAAGCAGGCACAGTAAATGACACCTACAGCATTGGGTCCTTCTCCGTGTGAGTCAGAGGACAGTGGATATGGCTCTTTAAATGCTGAGTCATCATTGGGCACCACCTGCAAAAGAAAATGTCACAATTTTTTACACAACACACACACACACACACAAACAACCACACACCACACACACACACAACACACACACACACACACCACACACACACACACAACACACACACAACACACACACACACCACACACACACACACACACACACACACACACACACACACACATACACCACACACACACAC